GACTAGAAGTGTTGTATGTTGTGTCTCAATATCTCAGAAGTTCTAAGTTTACCCGTGCTCTGCATTGAACAGTCCATGTGCGTTTGGATACAAAAGCGACGTGAGCTTATTTGAGCTTAGCTGTCGAGTTGTGTCACATTTATGTAATGGTGACCAGGATGATATCATGATCAAGTTCATGTGCTTGCAAATGCTATTTAATGGCAATGCGTGAACTTCATTTATGAATGGCAGTTTTGAACATCTATTTCCTTGTTTTGCAACGTAAAACACTGCATATTAATATCAGCACACGAGGGTCTTAGAAATGTTTATTCTGTCATGTCGACGTGTGCCTCGCTTGTGCGAGACCTTGTTCCCACGGTCGCATGGACAGGATCTGAATAGTGCGTGTAAGGTAATTGTGATGTGGGTGCGACATGAAAGTACGCCTATCGAGGATCACACGCGTCATTTCTTTAGCTTTTGTTTTACTTTAAACCCTAAGCAGTGTATCACGATCACTAGAGATCCAATACGTCCGGATTTTCCCACGGCAGGATCTACCTAGGGTACTAAGCGTTTTATCGTGGCCTGAAAAAGGCCAGCGTGGTCAGCGGATTGGAACAACACAATAAGCGCGCATTAAGAAATACTGCTGCGCACTTATGGACGACAGTTCAAGATTAACAAGCATTGTTTATCTTCACTGTTGGAAATCTTCTACCAAAAAACGTTGCTTCTGCTTGATCTTCTTGTTAAGAATCTTATTATATTGTTATGTATTTGTAAATGCATGGAAAAACCCAAACTGTTTTTACAAAGAACTCAGGTGACATTCAATTTTCAGCGCCCGATATCACCCGAAATTTCAAGTTGTTTTCATGATTAAAATGTATGATTAAACGTTTGCCACGATAACGATTTTCCAGGATAAACTTGGAAAACAGGCTTTTCTCGTAAAGTGCGTGTTCTCTATATCTTAACAATGTTTAACTTTCAGCTCTGTCTTCCAAAAGTTTGTTAATGAAATTCATTGATAAATAGTTCTGTCTGTTCCCACTTTTACCCTCAGTTAGTTGGATGGGATGCATCCTTTTATGTCAGATAAAATTTCAAATATACCAGTCATTTAGTTTCAGTAAGCAATACGTTTTGCCAATTCTGGAGGTGAAACTTGGCAAGAGGCAAAATGCTACAGAAAGTCTTTTGACAAAGATCTTTTTAATGTATTGATTGTAAAAAACAACTAACTCAAGTCGAAAACCACAGCGGCTTTAACTATCAGCTGTAGTAATGATGAAACAATTCAGATCGCGTTTTAAGTCAATTTTTCAATCTTTTAGTTTGGTTGATCACATTGTTTGGAGCACGTGTCCGACAATCACTGAATTAATATCCGAAAAGTCAACACAAAGGTCCCCTTAAAGATGCTATTACAATTTAGACTCACTAAATCAAAAGGGATATCGATAGTTAAATTAAAACTGGATGACATTAAGATACATTTTGAATGATAATAATTAATCCCTAGAAAAACAATCCTGGGAGCGATATTAAAGATTATTCTTGAGTTCAATACATGCGTCTGGTTTGTATTTAAATCCCAAACGAAGCTTGTGCTCGACAGAAGTCCCATAATTAGTAGAATATGCCTCCTCTTTAATCTTTTAAAATGTTTGCATGGGCGTTAGATATATATTTTGGTGGGAAAGAAAGAGCCCCAAAGCCACATTTAAAAAAGACTACGATCTCACTAAACAGTTTTGCTTTCATTATATCTGCATCGTGACACATTGATTGTCTAACTGATAAAAATAGGCCACATTCGGTTTTTATGCAGCTGCGTTTTCCACCCTTTGCAGTGACCTTTGATTTCCAAATTAAAAATCCAATACACTTTTACACTGATGATCGTTTGGTTGTCATTTGCCTATTCTGACGAGAAATCAACTTTTGTCATCGTAACAAAGCTCAGCCTCGTAGCCATATAGTCCCTTTGTATCATTTGAATCTGGTTGACATACTGTCTCCGAAATTCAAAGGGGATTTTCCGTAGCACACCTGTCAAGCCTTATCAAGGTTGGACCATTAATTTCGAAGGGGAGACGTGCTTTACCTGAAATTGGATTACAATGAGACATAAAACGGGGATTTCATTGAGAGAAATTCAGTTTTGGGCTATATACAGTCATGTATCTCTTACCAGAAAGCAACTTACTGAAAGTCTCTCCTGAACACGAAAAATATTAGCCTAGGATACATCAAGCTATATATGTAAGAAAAGTTTCTAAGAAAAGTAACCACTTACATTTTACAGGAATCGTAATACTTTAACAGACAACTGCAGTGCGACGGCGCAAAAATTCTGAACAACGCTGCAATGCTAAGACTTTGTAATTCCGTGCTAATTTTGCAGAACGTAAGGCCTCTTACGTCATATGAATGCCTATAGCAAATTAATACTACAGAAAACCTTAAGAGGAATCTAAAAGTTACGCTTCATTTTCCTATTATGCTAAATAATTTCTACATTACAAGCTTCATCAATCGTTAGGACTTTCGAGAGGGTATGCAATTTAAGCAAACTAATTCTGCTTTATAGCAACCTAACATAGCGGCACTGATACACAGTGGCACTAATTGGGCAGCATCAACAGCCTATTTCGATCCAAAACTAGATAGATATATTTCCTAGCGTAGAGTTTTCGATCTATGTTCTGATGTTGTATACTCTGACGAGAAACAGACCGAAAGCTTTAATATGTTTCAGAATTTTTGCTTTTTCAAAGACATTTTTAAATTCTCTACCACAAAAGATTGTTTGTGAATCTGCTACATAAATTTAGTATTCCCACTCTCTACGCGGCATGAGATAGATTGCTTAAAGAATGGTTTATCCAAGTTAAATGTCTCCTACGACATTGAAAGCTATATATGCTCTTTCACAATATCCATCCTCGTATTTCATTCCTACCTACGAATCTGCTTTATCTATCCATTTTTAACCTGAAGTTGTATGTTACCATAAGGGGTAATTATTAACCTGTAACGTACTTTAATTTAGTTGGATGTTACTTTTAATTTTTATCATTTGATTAACGAAAGAATACTAACGATGAAAATAGTAGATGCCTGAGAGAACTTTTACTCCAATAGACAGCACATTTTCACCTTAGATTCCTAAAGGTCGACATTCAGTTTGTTGCGATTAATGATCTTAATTGATTTTACAGCAACCAAATTTTCACTGAGTAGTGAATTGAAAACAGAACGCATAGGGCTAGTTTTAACTGCCGGGCTGCACCATACATAGGTACTCTCTCGAGGAGAGGTTTTGATCCAAATGGGGTCTTCGCTGGCATGAGGCATGCAGAAGTAAAGTTTGAAGGACCACTGTCTCCGATTTCCTCAAACTACTTTAAAATCACTATTTTTCACTTTTGGATGGAGTAAGCAGATTGTTGGTTGCTTATTTTTGTCACAAAAATGTTGTCACTATCGTCCTATAACGCGACGAGTCGGTAACAGTGTATTTGATTGCATCAGATATATGTGCTACTTTCGTTATGTAATTATCCCCCTTGCCCCTTTTTTGACAAATATTTATCTTCTTCCTTATACCAAATTGATACACACGGGGCTATGCTTTGCATGAACATCCTTCAACAACAAACGTATGGAAAATTAGGTTAATTTTAGCCTAATTAGATGTGCCCTTCTTTCATTTATCTCCAGAATAATATTCACCCAGCCACACGCATCTCTAGATTACTCTCATTATGCACCCTAATATCTTATTTCAATGCTTAAGATATTTTACGGTATTTGAACCTAATCTTTGTTTGAAAGTTTTACAGCTTGTTTGCATCTTTTGTTGTCACCAAATCCTGGCTTCGGGGGAATTTTTCTGCAACACTGTTATGTCTAGGCCTTATAAGCGTATGATGTAAAAGAACTGATTTGTGCAGAGCATGTGTAATTAGACATCTCATAAGATCAGCTTACATGTTTAGCGCACCTTTCTTATGCTTTGATCACACAATTAGGGAGTGACTGCTCTGTCTCGTGCAGATGCTTTATTTTTTTTGTTTTTTTATTGAAGAAGGAAGTGTCCTTCGTTTGATAAGATAAGATCTTCAAAAGGATTAACGTATAGTGTAAATTGGATACATGCAGCTAAATACATTGATTATATCTTTGCCACTGGACACACATTTTTGCCTCTAGATTCAGTTCTTTGAGTCCATATAAGCTCTTTTAAACCCAATGCTGCAGGGTCTTTGACCTGTTATTGTAGGCAATGGTTTTCGTATTCTCTACACTTGTCTAAAGAAATAACTCAGTGTTTCAAAATTGCTCTTTAGGCCTATGTCACTCCGTACTCTTGATATTGAAAAAACCGCACATTATTGCGATTTTTCATAGGTTCATCGAAGTGTCTGCAACGGGCCTCCCTACTTAGCCCTTTTGATTACTATCTTGTCTGCCGTTTTAGCATGATAAAATCGTTTCTCTTTTTACTTGATCGTTTTGTTGTTTTACGTTGTTTCCCTTCATCGTATTTGTTGAAATATACACTAAAAGTTGTAACCTATAGCTTGGCAAATGAAGTAAGGCACGAGCTTCTATATGCTTGTTTTCGATTTGATACGATCTTAATATGCGTGATTTATCATAAATTAGTATTACTTCTGTTGTAACAGAAATGCTACTTGAAAAATACACGAATAAATTAAAAACGCTTTGTGGCAGAAATTTGAAGAAAGTTTTTCAATCTGCCTTTTTTGATCCTGCAACGCTAGTTAAATATTATAACTATGATTTCTTTGTACTGCTACCTGATGTAAAAATATGTACTGCTACCTTTATGAATTCTGCCAATATTGATTATGATCTTTTCATTAAAATGCATATAAATTGTTTAATTCAGTACCAGACGGGGCATATGCAAGTGAGAGAAAAATATCATCGCAGCGTTGAGTAGACTAACTTTCTTTTAACGGAGAACACTGCCTCAAGATGAAGCGAGCAGTCAAAACCTAACGGTCATCGACGGTTGAAAATGCTTTTCTTTTGTAAGCAAATCAGACCGATCAACACGCGAGTACTTTAGGCGATCAGTTGAACCGGTTCGTGTAACCAAAACATTCTAGCGATAATCCCAGCCTTGGCCACAAGCCGGTATCTTGGACAATAACGGTGATTCGCAATTCAATTCAAGGCAGCTGTTAGATTGGCGTCCCCCGTTCAAAGGAACAGTGAACTTGAAATGGCTATAAACGATCAAGCGATCATTGTTGTGTCATAACCGTTCTGTTGTTCTCTGCACCGTGTGAGAGGCGAGCTAGCCGTCAATGCATGCAAAAGAAATACGAAGTAACAGCACTACAACACTGGTCATGAACTCTTCCGTGTTACCAGACAGAGCAATCAAAGACGGTTTACCAAAACTTGCTAAGGGTGAGTTGGACGACAATTGTTTCTTATGTAGAGCTGCCATGTGCATCAATATCACCTTTGCCAGTTGAATTCGCGTGTAGTGTCTGCTAAAACGTCTAACAGGAACAACTTTGTTTTGCATTTCTCCCAGTTTTCCTTCTTCTTGCTTCTTCTTGATTCTTCTTGTCTCTTCTTGCATTCTTTATCATTATTTTGTTGCTTCTCACATCTCTAAACAATTTCTTTACTGTCTGCTGTATCTATGATTTAAATTAGTATCCTTCGCTTCTTGAAACTAGTGAGTAATAGTAAGATGAAGCTTTGCAAGTGGTCACTCGCCTACCATTGTGTTCTAATACAATTTACGAATGTTACGAATGTCATTGGCAGAAACAAATTAGCAGCATTTGTTATTTAACAGAAAAAAGAAAATAAGGAAACTCGGGGATAAATCAATTTACTTTGGAAATTGCTCGATGTGCTTGCGTAGGAAAAAAAGCATTTAGTTTTTTTAGATCCAGTTTGTTTCAGTCTTATACAAAAATAGAAATATAAATCAGTTTACTTTGGAAATTGCTCGATGTATGGTATAGTAGAGCCTACCTATTACTGAGGGCATTTTGTGCGCCGCATGTTGTGCTTGCGTCGGGGTGTAGTTTTTTCAAGCGATTGTTACCTGTGATTTTGAAGAAAAGCATCTAGTTTTTTAGATCCAGTTTGTTTCAGTCTTATACAAAAATATAAATCGTTGTTTAAAATGCTTAAAATAACTTATTGATGGTATACTTGTATTATTATGTGAACTTTACGGAAACATTTTGTTTTTGCAAAAGTAAAGTGATGTTTTGAAAACATGGTATGTTGCCGTTAGAGTCATGCCTAGATACTTATGATCTGACCTCACCGAGATGCTACAGTTCTTAAATGTAATGAGTAAAAGATGCCTCTTTGAACTCTAAAGATAGAATAAGCTATGATGGGCGGTGAAGCACGTAATATTGCTGCGTCAATTTTTGCTCAATCGGCGAATCATTTCTAAGAGCGTCAAATCAAAATGGCTTTATGCATTCCATTTTTTATATGATAACTGCACTATGGTAAGATACTGCCCATATTTATATGTTTTACATATTCAACATATTGGCCTTTCTTTCAAATGATATACACATTTCATGTGAACCTTCATCCCTGCCCTTTTACAAAATAACCCGTAAAAAGACACATTTGAGGTGCTCGTAGATAATAAGTGACTGTGATAAGAATCAACGTTTTACATCTTGGGTTTTACAACGAATTGCATGTTGCTGAAATGAGACAAATTCTGTGAATCTTGCAATGATTAAAATGATATCAAGCTGATAGTTAGGAACAAGGCAAAACCATGACAAGAATCAAATGTTGTGTGATATGGTATCAAAATGGACTACATTAAATGTAAACTAACATTTCCCTCCGGCATACATGGCTTCGTCAGAGTAAATGTAACGAATGAGGAAGGGGCATCTGATAAAATTTTTCCTTGATAAATCGATATCTAGAAGAGAATTCTTATAAATGCTTTTATGCCATGTTTTATCCATTATCAAGCAGTCAAGGATAATTATGTTGGCATACTTTTTTTTGTAACACGGATTGTGCTTAAAGACCTTTAAAATCGGTTCTTAGATTTGCAAGTTCGGATTCTTGCTTGTCCTGGTGATTCTGACAATGAATTTTTGTGTGGCACATTTCGTGTGAAGATATGCAGGCATTTGAATCCACAACTTATCTACCATAAAACGCTTTAACTTTTGGTTTGAAATAAGAATTTTGTATCATTTTTAGTGATTTCCTGATAAAACTTGGTTTCTCAGTCTGATAACGTAACGGTAAACATGGACAACCGCAGAAGTGTAAGATACTTCTTAGGAATACGTGGTATTAACCTGCTGATATGCCACTGAGTTGAATATGCGCTTTGCTCGAAAGCTTTAACGTACTTTCTCGTTCTTTGTTGTCCATTTCATGCCTATAAGCCGACTTTGCACGTGTCCAAGTCGCCGTTGATGTCATACAGATCCGCGCCAAATTATTATGCGATCATAATATTTGCATTAATGTCGTAAAACGCTGGATTTCTTTTACAATTTCCGTACCGGTCTCTTAGTTCAAAGCAGCTTTTGTGTCGTAAAGTATTCTTATTGCTCTTTTGATCACAATTTTAACGAGTAAATTTATCCCTTTTCCTGTAAAGTTCCTTGATTCAGAGCACAGAACAGAGTCGATGAAGGTAATTGGAGCAAAGGCACTTTGTAATTCGCTGCTATCAGATCTATGAAGCATGCGTTCAATGAAAATTTTCATTTCTCTCTAATAGAGTCAATGACTACTCGACAATTTAGTTATTTTTATTCCATTCTTTTAGTGTTAAAGCGTGAAGTAAAAAGCAGGCTTTTAGCAAACAGTTTAACTCAGTTATTGAATTACACATGAATCTGCCACCCTTCCTTGTACTTTACTCATTTGTTCTTTTCTTGTACAAAATCTTGAAAATTTGCTCATTTAGTAGATTGAATTTATTATTTTCCTGAGCTTCACCATTAAGCCAACTCAGATGAAGTTGATGATTTTGTTGAAGTTTCGCTGCTATTCATAATTGCAGGCGGAAATGTATTACGTCTCCTCTCCTGCTCCGTGCTTCCTCGTCTCAAGAAGCATTTACTTTGAATATCATCTCCCTTTTTCAACGACGTGAAAAGATAATTATGCTACAGTGAATGAATATCGAAAGAAGGGACATTTAGACTGTGATGCGAATAGATGAAGTTAAGCATGGTTTATTGATTTTGGTCAAATAGTAAATTTAAGTATTCCAAGCTTCAGAAGTAACCAGCAGTGGTAACACAACTGGCCATTTCCGTTTTAGATCAAAATTATATGTAGCTGCTGACAACAATTTCGTGTTCTGTTCATATGGATCTGTTTAACTCATAAATCATGAATGTTAATATTGTATGACTTCTTCAAAAAGACTGATGATTCGAAGATTGATTCTACGGTATTTATGTATGAGTTACACAGAACACAAAACTATTTTTACATGAAGGCCTCACTCTTATTTTGAGGTTTTAACATATTCACGATATTCAAAGATTTCAAAGTACCATGGTTCATATTGATTTTGACAATAGTTAAAAAGTGATACCATATACACGACAATACTATTGCTAAATACTTTTTACAAGGTAACCAGGAATATTTTGTAGGTAAAAAAATACAGATCCTTAAATTTTTAAAAGCTGTTGCGAAACATACGGTGTAATCTTTCATAGCTGACAGCCATAAAGTGGCATTAACTGAACCAGCATCAACACAAGAGTCTTTTTTTGAAGAGGAAGTTTCCCAAGCTCTGATGGAGAAGCGCCTTTTCAGCCTCTTGTACTGCCATGCTGGGTACTTCTTTGTACTTTGCTTCCAATCAAGGCAGGAATTTTTCTTCAAGAACATCGTTCAAAATGCAAGACAAAATCCTAAAGAAGTGCAAAATTGGAAACAGCCTATTACAGAGAAATGTACTGTGCAATTATAACTAACAATCATTGGATGCTAATTGTTATTTGCCATTACCATTGCTACTACACACAGACTGTGTCAGATAAAACGAGTGTTTTGGTCACTATGCGCTTATTATGTCTACCCGTTTCATGGTTGTGCGATCTTTCTGCATGCTGAATACTGTTTTGTGTAAAAGATAACTAAATTTATTTATCCATAGGACAATCGACGTGACCATTTCATCTGAAAACGATCTTATCTGAAGGGAAGTTGGCTTTGTCAGGCAGTCTTTTTAAGAGATGTTTCGTATAATCGTGAGTCATCTTGCTCTGAAAAATATTTCTACTAAATTAGATATTGAAATGACAAATATACTGTATACATTGGTGGGCAGCGCAATACAAGAACGCAAAGAAAACTCTCTGGGTAATTAGGGAAGGGGTAGCCAGTAGCCAATTCTCCAACGAAAAACTTTATCAAACACACTGACGGGGTTGTGATGCCAATAGGTGAGCTGCAATTTTGACGTCCATCGAGTCTGCTAAGCAGTTTCTGTTCTATTTAGTGGGTTAAATGCCCTCGTCCCTTGTGAAAGCAGAATCATTTCATTAATGTCTTTAACAGTATACGTTCATTGTAATTTATTGCCTCCGACAGTGGCGGACTGGCTCAGAATTCTTAACCGGCCACAAATAACTGGAGGGGCCCATGTGGGTGTGGTTTGAAAATTAGGGCGTGGTCAAGTGAGCAGTTTATCATAATCGACCAATTTCTAAGCAACATAACAAATGTAGTATTAATAGCAAAATTGAGCTGTTGATTACAAATGGGCGCTGAGTACATTAATTGGAATTTAACATTAAATAATAAAAATTCTGTCTGATTTGGATTTCAGTAATTTTGCACAAGAGACTTTCTCGAAGAAACAAAGTTTAAAGTTATAAGAAAACTAATCTCAGATGCATAAAGGACAGTAAGTTCAAATTACAGAATATCTGAGGTGTGAGGAAGCCTTATCTATACTAAAACTTAATCTAAGGATGGCAGACCTAAAAATAGCAAACTAGAAAGGAAGGCACACTAATTCGATTTGTAGAATTTGTGGCTCACATGCGGAATACATTGAACGTCTATTGGATTGTACAAATTTCTATCAAAAATTCAAAATGGAAAAACTTGCTTAGCGACAAATAAAGCCAAAGCGAATCATTTCTATATACGAAAATTTGATATCTCAATCATGATATTATAGCTATATCATAGCAAGAAGGTTCCCTTTAATTTTTGTGTAATCATCCGCTAAATTCGTTTGCTGTCTGTATTTTAGACTTAATACGTGCTTACAAACTATATTTTCACAAAACGTTTAGGTTTATCATTTCGAAGACCATTCCAATCAAATGCCACCAGAAGTTGCATTTCTTTAATTTGCATCCCAAGAAACCAGTGATCAGTCCTGTCCCCTTTTTGCATCAACTTTGCCTTCC